ATAATTCCCTTACCTATTCGAATCTTACAGCTAACACTATTAAATTATCCCACAAACAAAAGATTCTTCTAAAGTTTTTCACATATCGCACTCTAGAAATAGTATGACTTGAGCCATCATACATCTTAAATTTGATGGTGCCAATACCAGCAATCTCTAAAGCATAATCATTACCCATGAATATTGAGCCTTTAGAGATGGGTTCATATGTATGAAACCAATCTTGATTAAGAGTCATATGTCATATTACTCCTGAATCCATTAAGCAAACCTTAGTAAGCTTTTTTCTATTTATAGAGATTATCGCTACTTCACTATATAAAACCTCTCCATCTTCTAAGGTGCTTGCAACATATCCTTAATGTTTTGATGACTTTACAGTGTTTTCTATACCCTTTTTAAACCAACAATCCTTTTTTAAGTGCATTTTTTTTGCCGCAATTGTAGCATTTCACAGTCTTTTTACTTTTTGATTTGGACCTTTCATACCTTTGACTCCCACTAAAACCATGTTTCGTTGATCTTCCTCTTGACTTCAATAATGCCTCTACTAACGATTTCTATCTTCTTTATTTTCATGTCTATTTTCTTCTTCCAAGATAGCAGCTACAACATCATAGAAGACTAAATAGTCTAAAAGGATATTATTGGTCAAGTTGATAATGAGTTGATCATACGAATCAGGAAGACTTTAAAGTAGAAGCTCTACACATTCATTGTCCTTTACTTGTTAACCCAACGTAGTGAGTTGTGAAAATAGAGTTTTTATTGTGTTGATGTGATTAGTTATCAATGTGGTTTATACCATTCGAAGGGTGTAAAGTCTCCACTTTAAAAAAATTCTTATTCTACAAAGATTTGGACTAGTATAACTTTGTTAGAGTATCTCATATCTCCTTAGTTGTTTTTTTCTCTACCACACTTGATAATACTTCATCAGCTAATGCTAAATGTATGTTACCAATGACATTGTTATCCATCTCATTCTATTTTGCAATATCAATGATCTCTGCAGATCGATCCCTAATTGCTATCAAGCAATTGTCTTTCCTTAATATTGTCTTGATTCTTATTTTTCATAGTGAGAAATTGCTCCCCTTGAACCTCTCAATCTCGTACTTTACTGTCATTTTATTCACCGTGATTTATTCAGCTATCACTGTTTCATAGATCTATAACATATACAAAAATAGTATCGTATGAATAATACTTCACTAAGTTCCCAGAAAAGATTGGAGGGGTCATAAACAGTCCCGTTTAAAACTCAATCTCCTTAGACAGAACTTTCTAAATTATTTTTAATCACTGGCTTTCTATATACTCTAGAAGCCTTAGACAGAACTTCTTAGATTGTATTTAATCACCGCACTGACTTTTTATATATGCTAATAGCAACGTATGTGAATAGTATCATATGAATAAATAGTGTCGTATAGATGAATAATATCATAGACATGAATAGTACCGTAGATGTGAATAGTAACCGTATACACGAATAACTTTTGTGTGTTAATAACACCAACTAGGAGGCTCTAATACCACTGTTAGGATACTGCATACAAATCTGACAAGATAAAAGGCAAAGGATAGGATAAAATGAGACACATAAAAATTTACATGGTTCACCTAATTTTAGCTACGTCCAGGGGCAAGTATAGAAGAATTTTACTAAGTAATGTGAGAATTACAACCTCTCTCTACTAATAGAAAAACAATTGAAATCTCTCTATTACTAGGAGAAAATACATCACTTACTCTCTTCACAAATACTTTATAATTTTATGGGATTACTTTCCCTCTCTCACTCTTCTTTTCTTCTCTTTTGTTTCTCTCTTATGGTGTGCATTTAAAACTTGGATGCATTGCCTATTTATAGTCAAGAGTGAGGGGACAAAGATCATAAATCATGGCACTAATTATGCCATAAATTATGCCAACAACTCATCTCCACTCATACTCCATCAATTATATCAATAACTCATCTCCCATTTATTTTTGCGTAACAACTCATCTTCCACTAATTACATGGATTTAATTAAATGGCTTTACATTTGTTGGGATATTGCCACTTATATGACAGTATTTGTTGTCATTGTCAAAGAAAGAAGGTCAGCTTGTGAGAGTCAAATAGAGTTGTTAATACAACAACCGAAACTCACAAAGTAGGTAAAGGTTAGGTGGCCACCATTATTGAAGATGAACTGGAACTGGTGGCACCATTCTTACTTATAAATAGACACTAAGAGAGCAGAAAAGAAGAGAGAGAGAGAGAGTGCAGAATACCAGAGATCAAGAGAAAAAGTGAAGGGCTGCCAATAGTAGTAGCTGCAAGTGCAGCAATGAGAGATGTGAGTTGAGTAAAGTGAATGTAATCCTTCACTTCCATGTATTTGTATTGTATCATTTTTCTATCTTTAATAATATGTAATTCTTCCATAAATATAGGTGATTTGTTGAACTACATTAAATATTATGTTAATGTACTTAGTTTTCAATAGATAACTATCAAAATATACTAGTCGGAATCCCCAGTAAACAGCACAAACCTCATGTTCCATGGGTATTGACCATAGACTATCAAGGCGATTAATCATCTGAAACGCAAGCAAATCAATAAACATAGCAAGTTGTTTGAAATATTCGCTCTTTTCAACATGCAAATATCCATGCAAGTTCACTGAAAGAAATCATCATCAATGCAAAACACTGTGGCTACTATCTTTCAAGATCAGCAACACTATAGCTGCTATTTTTCAGTAACCGACATGGATATCCTGATAATGAATTCTGTAAGCTGATATTCTTCTCGGGTTATCAGTCCACAGGCGAAGTAGTTAATAAAAACTGTAAATTCTTGACAAGAAGGAATTTAGCCTTATGTACTTTCTCATGCTCTGCTGAAGGTGGGGGTTGCATATTAGGGTCTCAGTCCATCTCAAGAATCCTAAAAAGAAAATGAAATTCCCTGAATCTTACTGCATTTCACCGTGATATTTGCTTCTAGAATCCACACAAAACAGCTCTGATTTTTAGCCTCCTATTTGAAATCCCTACTGATTCTACAAGACACTGTACTGTTTCACTTGACCATTCTCTGCCATGCCCCATAGAGCTTACGAAGTAACCAACACAGATTTAATATTTTAAAAATCTGAAGTTCAAATGCCAGAGTGTTCAAATATCTGCAAAAGATTTTGGTTTGGTTATAAAGGAGAGGTTCGAGCCAGAGACCTCTGAAGGGAGAGTGGGGTATATATGGATTCTGAAGGGAGGGTGGGGTATATATGGATGCTGATTGAGCTACAAGCTCATAGGACACGCAAAAACTAATCAATAACACAAGTAAAAAGCCATCGGTTTGTGCTTAAAAGAACAATAATTCATCTCTTTGAACACTTAAAATTTGTTTGAATCTTTTCAATGAATGAAGTTAGCTTCGGGCTACACTATATGGTCACCGAAGTGGAACCCAGTAGCAGACTTGACAGAATTTCTCGACCCTCCTCATGCAAGCAAAATGTCAATAGGAGGAGACATAAAACTCAAGGTTGGGGGGCAGCTTGAAGTGCTTATCAAGGAGACAAAACTGGGTGCCCTTACTGTATAACATGAAGCACTTGCATGAACTGTTCTTATCCACTCTATAGGAAAGAGCACCATTGTCTTGCAATGGGGGCAACTCGAGCATAGAATCTTTGCCACTCAACTTTTTCTTAGCATATATAGCAAAATACGACAAATTGTTGCAGGAGGAGGATTTATTATACCAAAATAATTTTAATTGGACAATACAATCAAACTGGTTGGAATAATTAATAAATTAAGAATTGATTAGTTTGGTTAAAATCATATAACAGCTTCTTCCAAAAAAAAGTATAATATTATGAACAATACCGGGTTTTATGGTATATAAAAATATTAAAATGATAATATTTTAGATTGATTTGAATAAAAAATAAAAATTATAAGTATACGAACACTTGTAAAAAATTTCCAACAAAATCAATATGAAATATATATATATATATATGTGTTCATATCCTATCACAAAATTCATGTCAAAAGTTAGTCAGATCAAACGTTATAATTTTAATTTATTTTTTAAAATAAAATAATGTTGTATTGAAAAATAAAAAAAATCTTAGCTAGATTTTGATTAGGTTAAGTTTTAACATGCAATACTACTTAAACAAGGTTTCAAATCATGTATTACTAATTTGAGTTTAATAACACTAATTTATATATTATTTAAAATATAATTTAAATTAAAAATTAAAACCATATAAAAATCTTTGACAATGTATGGGATAGCAAAATCATAGTAAAATAAGAGTGAAATTATAGTTTTAAAATTTAAATTGATCTAAAAAGTGATGAAAGACTTAATCAACTTAAAATTCAAATTAATTCGAGTTAGAATATAACTTAGCTAGCCTATTTTATTATGAAATTACAAATTTAATTGGTTAAAAATAGAAATTATTTATGAAAAAGGCAACCCATCTCTTTTTCTGTTTATTGTGATGATCAAATTAATCTTTTATGTTTTTTTTTTTTTAAAAAAGAGTATTTAGAGTTAACAACACAAATGCATCATGTTTATAGAGGAATTAACAACGTTAGGGAAGACGAAATACACAGGAACCCACCTTGCAAGCTCAAAATGATCTAAATAGAGTTCATAAGATGAGAAGGGAAAAAATTATTTAGAGTTAACTAACAACATGTAATCATTTTCAAGGAATATTGGAATAATCATGCCATGAACATCCATATAACTATTATAGGTTCTTTCACTTGACAAGCTTGGTAAACCGGTGTATCATGTCACCGTGAGCTTCTTCAGCACTCCCGGCAGCTGTTTCATCCTCAAAATTGTAACGAACTGTCCATCCATGGCTGACGCCAGGGAGTATTTTCACATGGCTATCAAACTGCAAAATATAGAAATAGGTTTAATGCGTTGTGAGCATGAAATTCAGAGCCTCAACAGTAAGGGAAGCAGGTGAGTCCTCTTCAGCTTTTTCGTCGCTGCGTGGCATAGAAATATCAAAGAGACTTGAATCCAAAATGCTAAATCATATTTGCCAAGTCATGAGATGAAAAGAGTTTAAAAAAACTAAAAAAACATTATCTCCTTAAAACATAGAACCTCTATGGGACAATCATCAATCTTGAGACTGAGGACCTATCACCTGAGATTTTGCAGATGAATTTCAATTGTTCTGGTGTGGAAGCACGGTCAATTTCAGCTCCCAGAAAAGCAACTGGAATCTTCACCTCTGAAACAGTATAACATGTCATCAATTGCAGTGCGCACACGAATATTTAGCACTCTCTAATTATCCAGAACCATTTTCAAGAGAAGGAGGGTGAAGCTAGACAACAATCACGATTAAGAAGAAACAAAGGGAAGATTGAAAAGTGGGAATCTTACCGTTAAATTTTCTGTCTTAGATTTGTGCTTGTTCCAACTTGAGCAAGTTCGTAGCTATGGGGGAGAATGACTCACTCCCCATCAAGAACCTGCAGCACCAATGGAATTCATGCCTTTACTTCTTAGAGCAGCAATTACCAATTTCGCATCTTCATGTCCTTTGTCCGACAGATGTAGGAAGACTGTCACCTAGTCTTTTTCTCCAACTCATGGATTTGACTCCTATGACATCCCACAAATGGTGATGTCCATTGCTCTAGAAACTCACCGTGGCTATCAAAATCAGGCTTGCTTAGATCAACTGGATCACCACATAAAAAATCAGGAACAACCACAAAGAATGCAGCAGCTGCGACTTTGCTGCGAGGTTCCTTTCCAGGAAGAACAATGAAATTACATAAATATTTTGGTGAGATCAGTGATAATTGTTATTTGTTAATATTGATTAAGCTAAGAGCTGTCTATGTCAGGGCAAGTGTTCTTGAAGGTTTCCAAAGCCCAGATTTCTTTTTTTTGGCATTAATCAAAGGGCAAAACAATACCGAGTTTTAACTTCTAACAGTCAAGTTCAAATTCAGCCTCCACAAATTTACTTGTTGAGGGACAAAGAAGCAGGTTCACACTCTACAAAAGATTTCACATTGAGAAATGGTTCAAAAACAAAGGTTACTGCTTATTGGATCTTCTGATGTCATCGTTTTCTTTTCCCCATTTTGAATCGAATCTTAAAAATGGTCAAGGATTTCCTCTTTTTACTTTTTCAACGTTATTATTTTGTTTGATGATGATTCTCTGTTAAAGAACATAGTCAAGAGCCATTGGAGATTATCTAGCTTTAGCTAGCACAAGAGAGAATTCTATCAGCTTTCTAGACCCTGACACCATCGTCCAAGTTCATCATACAATGAAAACTGCAAAAATCTGATGGACCAGACCTCAAATTTGGAGCTTCATAACTTGGAAAACCGATCAAATGCTAACTTTGTAAGTAACCACAACCTACAAGTCCATCAAATAGAAAACCACTAATTTGTAAATAACTCCATGGTAGTGGGAGATTAGTTGAAGCATGAGTAAATTAATCTGCATACCTATAGTTAGAAAAAAAAAAACATTAATTTTGTTATTCATGCTCTACTACACGTAAAATATTTTTATTTTTTATAAAAAAAATTATATATATAAGTTTTTTTAATGTATTTTTATAATTAAAAAAATTTAAATGCAAATCAAAAAGTTTTTACATACATATAATCATAAAAAATCAAAAAGCAAATATAAATCAAGTTATTTAATCTTGTCAAACGAGATATTTATCCGATTATGTTTGCTAATTTTTGTTAATTAAAATATTTTTTTATTTAATCAAACAATAATAGAATAGATAAAAATATTAAATTAATTGACTAAAATAAAAATAAAAGAGGAATAATATGTAAGGCTATATATATTAGAAATATTATCTAAAAATAAATATCTTTAATTAAAACATTTTTTATTTAATCAAACGATAATAGAATAAACAAACATATTAAATTGATTGACTAAAATAAAAATAAAAGAGGAATAATATGTAAGGTTATACATATTAAAAATATTATCTAAAAATAAATATCTTTAATTAAAACATTTTTTATTTAATCAAACGATAATAGAATAAACAAACATATTAAATTGATTGACTAAAATAAAAATAAAAGAGGAATAATATGCAGGGCTGTACATATTAGAAATATTATCTAAAAATAAATATTTTTTATTTTAAAAAATACAATTTATCTATAAAAAAAAAACATAGATGAATCATAAAAAACATTTTCAAAAATTAAATGCACAATAAAAAAATCATCATCATCATTTAAAAGAGGATATCTTAAAAAATTAAAGAAAAAAGGGGTATTAATGTAAATTTAATTAAGTTTTAAAAAATAAAAAAAATTAATTAAAATAAAAAAAATTAGAAAAAAAAAAGTCAGACATTGTTAGGCCTTCCAAGCCAGGTCAGCCCACCTGACCCATTTCATCAAGGCCCAAGCACGAATCTATTGGGCAAGCCCACATATTTGAGCTCTTTTTTTAATTATATCTAGGGTAGACAACATGTTGTACACCCCAATATTTTTTTATAAAAAAGATGACGTGTCATTTATTTTCCTGATCAATGTGGTGACTGAAAAATTAAGGTTTATGTTTTTTTAACCTAAAAATCTATATTTTAATCTATTTTTAATTCAAAACACCTAAGAAAACATCCTATAAACCATGATAAATCTATCCATAACCACAAAAAAAACACCTAAAAAATTGAACTCAAACTAAAACCGAAAATCTATCCAAGTTCATATATGTTTTTCCATGAACTCTTAAGATATAAAAACATCTAATATGAACTCATCTCATCAAATAAAATAATTTCACATAAATATTGTTTATTTTGATAGCCTAAATCGGTATTAACAACATGTTTTTCTTTCTATCGTCAGAATCTAGTTATTTCTTTCTCTTATCTCAACTAGAAACCAAAAATAAAAAAAATTATATAAAAAAAAATAATAATAAGGGACTGAAATTATATAATTTTCGTGATATTTTAAGTTGAAGGACTAATATATATCTTTTTCAAGACTTATGACATACTATTTATGTTTATTGTGTTTTTCATTTTAATCCCTTGTTTTCCAATCTCATTCCTTTATAAGAATTCAAAATTAATTACTTTTTAATTAAGATTAAATTGCAAAATTGTAAAATAAAAAATCAAGAACCAAATTTAAAAATACAAAATTTTGCAAAATCTGTTTACTGTAAAATATAAGAAAATAAACAGTAAAAAAATGCACGGTTAAAAACCCACACCAATTAGATTATAGGTAATCTCAAAAGCAAACCTAGCACGCGCCATTATGGAAATCAATAAATTGAAAAGGACAAAAAAATAAAATAAATCTTGATGGGCTCTTACCAAGAACATCAGAAATGAGAAGGATGGCAAGGTTGGAATCTGAAGGGCCAGTAACACAGGTTTCCAGGCCACCAGTTTCTTGGACTGTCCCTTCTCCTTAACCTGTGGCCAGGTCTGTGGATTCTATCTAAACACTGAGAGCTAGACATGGTTTGACTATGATCGACTGCTATACTAACAGGCTTCAGACCTGGAAATGAGTGAGGCACTGTTCTTGCAATGAGACAGTACAAGGTTGATCTCGTGATGGAACTAGGTGAGTTTTTTTACGAAAACTACAGTTTTTATATGTAATAGAAAGCAAGCTGTCCGAGGTCATCCCTGTTAGGTTCTGAGTTATAATTATTAATTGTGATTCAATAGTTTTTTTTAAAAAAAAAATATAATATAAACTAAGTGATTTATTAAATAAAATAATTTGATATAAATATTTTTTATTGTGGTGGTTTGAATTTATATCAACAATATATTTTTTTTTCTATTATTAAAATTTGGTGATCTTTTTTTTTTTTTTCTTTCGACATAGGATTAAAAATAACAAAAATAAATTTTTATATTTAAATAGAATTGGAAAGAATTTTAAAGGACTAAAATTATATAATTTTCATAATTTTTTAAATTGAAGGACTAAAATATATTTTTTTAACTCATGACAAATTGCATTCAACGGAATCCGTATATCTAGTCCACCTTTCAGCACGATAAACAACTTCTCTTGAATTATATTCTCTCAAGCTACCTATCTTTTTCATTAATAGCTATTACTTTTCTAATATGACTATCCTTTTCAATGATAACTTACTTTCAAATATAAATTCATCTATCAATATGAAGTGTGCTAAATCAATTAATAACTCAATTTTATAAAAAAAACAAATATTTTTCATTATTTCTCATTCTTTATTATGTGTAAGCTTAGATGATCTCAAATATTTATAAATATCACATGTCACCAAATAAAAAAAAAGATATATTCAAGCTCATTTGACTTTATTATTCTCATATTTTATATACAACATTATTCTTTTTGCCACATTTTTTCTTCACACATAAATTTTATAATCTTATATTTATTAATTTAAATATTGAAGAGTCCTTTATTCTATTAAAAAAAATTATTTTGCAAGTCAGTCACCTGCTCATAATATAACTATAAAAAGTCTCGATTTTATATGAAGTCTTTCATAATTTTATCAGGTTTGAATATTTTTTTTATATACATGAAGGGAAGAAAATAAGTAAAAAAAGCAAGAACATATGTTTTTTTATTATTATCATTACTAAGATGAGAATTTGAAAAAAGAAAATGATCTTTTGAAGAAAGTTTAATGGAAACTTAGTTCTATACAAATGGCTTTCCATGAAAAAAGAAATTTACCTACTGAATGTTAATTGTTATCATTATATACATAACTATCTACCACCACAATTGGTGTTGCCTTGTTATATTCAAATTAAGTTTTTTAGGCACTAAAAGTATTTTTTGAAGAACTCATATATTAATTGAAATTAAAAAAATAAAATTCTAGAAGACCTTGAAAATCAATTTTTATATATTTTAGGATATTTAAATAAGTTTAATAATTTTTTTCAAGAGTGATTTTAAGATTTGAATCTAAAAAATTAATGAAAGAAGCATATTTCTTTAATTAATGCGTCATTCCACTCTAAAAGATTATAACTAAATATTGTAAAATTCACATTTTGTAGGTATTTTTTAATAATTATTATTTTATTGGTATGTCAAGCATCATAAACCAAAGAAGGTATATATTTTTTTAGTAGAAATTAGTTAATATTGACGCCCTACACTATATTCCAAAATAGCTTTGAATGCAAGAGAAGAAGGAATTAAAATTATAGACATGTGTTTTTCAAATCATATAATATGTTAAACAAGGAATAGAAAGATGATGCATGTGGTTAATACAATAAATGAAAAAAATAATATTAAATGATAAATAAATAAAAAATCATGAAAGCTAATTAAAGACTAAAGCGGGAAAGCAAATTGTTTTCAAAAAGGAGTAAAAGATGGATTTAAATGCAAATATTGTACCTCTAATATCCATCAATGTATTTTTTTTATTTATCTTGGAGATTCACTATGATTATTAAGTGCGTGTAGTTTTTATTTTTATAAGTTCATAGTAAAATACAATTATTTTAAACTAATTTAATAAAATAATTAAAAATAGATTACAAAAATTTCTTGGAGGTATATAAAATTATAGAAACCATTAAAAAAATTTACTTTTTTAGAAAATTGTTAAACTAGATAGTTTACAAAAATAAAAGAGATGATATTAATTAAAAAATAAAATTAAAAAATCAGACTCTATGATCAAAACCTATTTTTATACAATTTTACTGTAGTTAAAATAAATATTCATAGGGATTAAAATGATTTATATTTTTGAATAAAAAAATATTTTTTTAATTTTTTTATGAATCATAATAATAATCTACCGTGTTTGGTTTTTTTCCTTAGAATTTATATTTTGATCCTTCAATTTTTTTTCCTTTAAAATTGCAATAGTCTGGATTTGGACTTCTTGGGTTGTTTTATCTGTCTATAAATAAATACCTTTAAGGTGTTGAGAAAATATTTCATTGTTTATTTGATGTTTAATTTGCAAAATAAAATTTACATTTATTGATTTAGAGCAATTAAGACTTAGAGATCGGATTTGAGGTTTTAAAAACTTTTTAACATCTTTAATTTTATCTGATCTGGGAACTAGTTTACTTGAATAGGGTAAATATTTATGTTTTTTTTTTAAAAAAAAATTTAGTTATTTTTTTTAATTATATTTTTTTCCTTCAAACTAACTTGATAGTTTATTCTTATTACTTAGATATAAGAACCTTGCAATATCAATGAAAAGTTTTAATGTTTAATTTGTCAAAATATATTTAAACTATATTGATAAATAACAATGAGGGCTTAAGGGCTCAATTTAATTATAAAATAAATATAGGGGACTAAAGTGAACATGCAAGGTTAAAAGGATAGTGCGTGCACTGCACATGCTAGAGAGTGAAGGAGATCTCAATCAGCATCCTATAATGGCTAAACCTAGACTTACACAGTGGCTAAAATAGTTTTAAATTTAATCATTATTTTTTTTATTGCTAAATTTTTATTATGGATCTTTTCTAAAATTTAAAATTATTTTCAATTTAATTCTTTAATAAAAAATTGCAACTTGTCCTTTAATTTTATTTTTCAAATTTAGTTCTCATTTTTATCATTTTTATTTTTACTTTTTTTTCTTTTTATGAAATTGAATCTTCTTTTCAAAGGCATCCTTTAATCCAAAAACATAAAATGTCCTCTTTATCTGTTTTTATTTCTAATTTGAGCCTTGTTGCTTTTTTATTGGCATCAATTCTCTAGGATTTTCCATCACAAGTCGAAGTAAGCATGCCCTCATTGATAAATCTGAAATAAAGCACTAAGTTTTACTTGAAAGTTTAATCATTTTGATGTAATTTGAGTTATATAAACAGAGGAAAATCACCCATAAGTTCAAGTTATGGTAAAAGTACTTCCTCCCGAGCCCTAACGTCTACCTCCTTAATTGGATGCTGAGATTGCTGACCGAACTCACTGTAAAGGCAACAGAAATTGAATGTCCTTTGCCTAAATTAATCCCACAAAGGACTTGATCGCTTGACACTGACACGTCTCTTACAAACTGAACCACATAATGCAGACAGCATCGAGCATGCGCTAGGCATAGCTAGCTGTAGGCAAAGGACCAAACCCTACGTGAAGGACTATCTGCATCTACAGGACGCATGATTTGAGGCAGGAAGTGGCTGCAAGTTCAATGGATTGCTGGGATAATTGACTGATATTGTTTCTGCTAGCATGCATCTGGCCTGTTTAGGTGTTTTCAGCTGCTAAGCTTTTGCGACAGAGATGGAGTTGAGAGTGGACTTCTGTCACATTCTTGAAGTTATAGCCTTCTTGTGCCTAGAGGCCCTAGCTAGGCCAGAGTGCGTTCTCTTCCTTTTTCTCTCAAAAGATAGTGCTGCTCTTCTTCCCAGCTCTCAAAGTAATGCAGCACTCGACATGAACCAATTACGTACGTGAGTTGAGGCTGGACAGATACACTCTCCATGAAGATGTGTATATATATTTGGTGGAAGGGACAGCTTCCTGTGAGAGATTTTGATCCTGGTGAGGCCCTCCACCTTCCACCACCATTAGAGCTGGGTTAGGCAAAGTAAATACTTCCAAAACTTTACCCACACTCCATCACGGTTCACACACGATAATAAAAATAAATATACATAAAAAAATAAAAAAAATATATTATTTAAGATTGAATATATTAAAAATATTATTTATAAATAAAATCCATCTATATAAAACCAAGAAAGAATTATAGATGAATCAGAAACTAAACACATACAAAGCGATTATAAAAGAAAAAAAAAACTTTTATTCAAAAAAGTCTCATAAAATTATCACCTAGATCACGAGAACAGGATAAACAAATAAGAAAAGAAATTAAAGATAATCACAAAACTATTTTTTTAAAATAATATTAAATAATAAAATTGAAAAAAAATGAGTCAATAAAAAGGATGTTGATCCGTATTTATTTTTCAAGCTAGTGACCCGAGTCATTAAGCTAAAAACACAATAAATAAATTAAAAGAATAAGGAAGAAAATCAAAATAAAAAATAAATTAGAAGGTAATATAAAATTTCAATTGGAGGGTTAAATTGAAAAGAAAATTAACTTTAATTAAAGTAAAAGCCAATAAAAGATAAAAATTAAACTAAAAAAATAATATACCATAAATTTTGATTGAAGTATAAAATTGAAAGTTAAAATAAAATAAAATTAAAAATTAAAAAATTAAAAACTAAAATTAAAATATAAAAACAAAGAGCACTCAGGTGTACTTTATAAGATATAAGAAAGTGAAGAAAAATAAATAATTATTGATGACAAACCACATTAGCAACCATTTAGCGTTGCATTACAAGGAAAAGAGTAAGGTGGTACTCTCAATAACAAGGTGGAATAATAGATTTGATCACTGGAAGTCACCGTATACACTGTCCAAAAAATAGTGGCATTTTCCATACCTTTACATGAACAAAAACTTTTTATTATAAAACATATTATTAAGCATGAAAAGTTCAAATTACAAATCAACAAGAAATCCAACGCGAAATGATAAAAACATCCCTTTATTTTTTCTGAATCCAGGGGCAAAAAAACCATTTTACTATTTTTAAAAAAGGAAAAGAAAAATAAACCTTAATAAAAAAAATGTATTTTTTTTTTATTTTGAAGGCAAAGCAGACATTTTTCTGTTCTAAAAAGTTAGAAAAACAAAAATACCTCAAGACAATCCTTTAATGAGGAATGGATCATTGAAAGAAAAAACCAAATTACCCGCCAGACGAAGGCATCCCATCTTTTCTTCAAAGAACAAAAGTGTAATTTAACCGCCGCAATGAATAGTATTGTGTGTCCGCGTGCTTGCTGATTTCTACAGACGCTATTTATCGTATCTGTTAATATCTCGGTCCGCAACGCTTTCTAACTCAAGTCAGTCATCCCATTTAGCACCGTTTCAAGGAACTGGGAATCGTTTACACACTCCATCAATAAAGTTAAAGACGAAGAAAGTTAGAAAAACTATCCACTGGTCCAAGACCCAGCAATCCTCAGAAGGCATGTGGTCCATGATCATCCAACTGACCTTATCCCAACAAATCCTCCAAAATGGAGGTCTAGAAAGTGTTGAGGCGATCGGGAAAGAACAGAAGAGAAAAGGAGGGGGGGAATATCATTCATCTGAGCACACTCCTCTATCATTGAAGGAATAAAAACAAATTTGCAGCAGGCGGAAGAGAGTCACAGGACATGGGGGTCAAGAGGGTAATGAAATAGCTTATGATGTGATGACACTGCTCCTTCCGATTTATCATTCCAGTACTTGCATATAATTATTCACCATCCATGCCAGTTTAGATTTTTCTTTTTGATCAAGAATCTTTCTTTCATGTACACGGGTTATCATGCTAGGTAACAACGACAAAACAAGAAAGCATAAAAAATTCCTATTTCTTCTTTCCATTCCTTGCAAGAGTATGGCAACTGGTGAACCAGCTTTTTTCTCTTTTAACATGGTGTCCAGTCACGTTTCAACAAATTTTAGCTGCTATCACAAGTGCATATTATTGCAGTGGCAGTGCAAAGCCATAGACGCTGTCCATGAAATCAGCTTCATGATCCACCAGTCCCCACACTACTCATCAGCCACAGCTCACAAGATCACACAACAACAGAATCTTATTCACTTTATCCATTACAGACACATAAAAACCTTTGATACATAGGACAAGAGGAACAACACCACAACAGCAAAGATAAACATTCAACTCAAGCACTCCACTACTACTACGAACACACCTCCACACTCTAGAGTATTAAAACAGATGAACCTGACAAGCCCATCTTAGGGACTTCACAGCACAGCTATGGTCACATGTCTCCATACTGTGCGGGCACCGGTGCCAGCCAGGGTAGAATGAGTGAAAACAAACAAGCCTTTATTGAGATCATCTGATCAAAGAGCGGACCCCAACAATAGGAGTTTTCTCTCACACCAGGAGTTTTCTTTAAACTACTTTTTAATAGGAGTTTGATGCCGGCATGATTTGTGTGAGGGTAAAGAGACAGGGACAAGAGCCATGAAATCAAAGAAAAAGAGAAGGGTGGATTGTGGGACCCGAAATACCTAACGCGCATGCACTAAATCCATGGGGGTTCTCAACACTGAAGAAAAGGAAGTCTTCATTTCCAGCACAGCCCACCTCTACAACCAACCCATGCGTTCAAGTCCTTTGTGACTTTTGTTAACCTTTAATCCACAATAAGGCTAAAAGATAATCATTTATGGTCAACAAACAAACGCAATTTTTCTTCAACTTTGCGAGCAAAACAGCCATATCATCCCACCACTACTCTCCTTTTATTGGCCCATTATATACAAGCTGTTGGGGAACAAAAGTAGGAAAAAGAGCCCCCACATGAGAAAAGCTAATATAGTGATTTCAAACCCATCAATCATTCAAACCAAGAATTCTCGAGTTTCTACCTCTTTCATCCTTCCTTCCTTCCTTCCTTCCACTTTTTAGCTAACATGATAACATGGAAGGAGGAAAAACACTTAAAGGTAGCTCACTCCTAGAGTTTTGGCCTTGAGCTTCAAAGACTTCAAGTAATCTATAGCTTCATCAAGGACCAACAATGGATCTTTATCCTTTGCACCAGGGATTATGCTTTCCAGAATTTTCAACGTTGCACGAATCTTGTCCTTTCTAAATTGCTTGCTGCTCAAAATGGAAATCATTTCCCCATCTTGGCTTTGCCGTTTAGCATAGTTTGATTCCATATCATCGCCGTATCCATGAAATCTTTCCACTTTTACTGAACTAGCAGTGTCTACTAGTGATGATTTTTTGTACCCGCCATCGATCAATTTCTGCCGTTTGTTTGGGCCATCAGAACTAGTGGCTTCCTCCTCTATTATTTTCTCTACCTCTTCTTGTGTCCCGTGACTTTTAATCAGAATGGGAGAGTGACCAGTACTCCTTACCTCGTCGTCATCACCTTCATCATCACTGCCACCACCATTTTCATCACAATAGTCATCATCTGAGTATAGCAGGGCATTAATTTCTTCAGTGTCCTCATGCATCTCACTTTCTTCACTAGTAAAGTGATTCTCGTCTGATACTTCAGGCAACTTCATCAGCTTTGTCTGGTCCATTTTTGCAGCATATTCGTTGTGGTCAAAATAACCCGGAATTGGCTTTGCATCAGCTGCAGTTGGTTTTGGGACAGGAGGGCCAAAGGAACTATAGATCAACCTTTGTTCATTACCAGACTGATCGAAAACAAGGAACCTTCTCTGGCATCCAGGGATTGGATTTCGCACACCCTCCCTACCAAACCCATAAGAAAACACAGACAAATTTTCTCTGACATATGGATTTGTAGCGAGAAGAAAATTCTGGAAGTTAGAGGGTAAACACTGAGGCAACCCGTAGGCTTCATTGCCTTGTTGTGTCTTGAAATTTGGAATGCTTGAAACTGCCAGCCCTGGCATTGCCATATTTGCAGAAGTCATGCGCGTGCCAGGGTTCATACATTCTGGCAAACATTGTAGTTGCGCAGGATCCAAAGATGTGGTCATGCAATGTGAATTTGGCAATTTCCTAGTAGAATGTGGTGGAGAAAGCCAAGAACCTTCAGCCTTAACCATCCAACCGAAAGAATTACCTGCCGGTGAAATTAGAAAAGACAAAATAAATGAGTCTCTGGAGAAGAATCCATTAACATTTTCGCTCCAGACCCAGTTGTATGAAATCGCAAACATACCGAGAGTTATGCTTTGATCTGCAATGTGCAATTAATTTCTGCTTCTTTCAGGAATAAGAAAGGGAAAAGGAAAAACTACAAATTGCAGCTTGATAATATAACAAAAACGTGGAGTCGCACTACGTGACAGGTTTAAGCAAATGACGGAAGTATTCAGCCTGGAAAAACCACAGAAATAAGGAATGAATTGTTATCGTTACCAAACACCGAGCAAAAATAAGTCCAGGGATTCTTACAGACAAAATATATAAGAAGTTTAACTATTTGACAAAAGTACTTTCCTGGAACTGCCAATTATTTGCATCACGCAAACAATTAGCTATTACAAGAATCATTGAATGTTCTGTACTAACCTGGCAATCCTGTAATGGTCGATAGCATGCAATAACTCTAACTATAATTGTTGGTTTTCCAGCAATTCCATTCTCGTATTTCAGGGCCCGAAATCTTGTTTGACTTGCTGCTTGGCACACCATAACTTCTTTCGACCACTTAAAACTCAAACTATCCAGATGTAGGTTACAACACAAAACAATTACCTAATAATACAAAGCAGGACAAAGGAAAGCTTGTTACAAAGATCTAAGATGTGCTGGACTTGGAATGACAGCAAAAGGAGCAAGAGACGTTTTAGAGACAGAAAACTTGAATTGGAAAAAAAGAGAAACTAAGGGAAGTTAAATTCTTTTCTAGTTATCTTGTCAGATAATCCTATAAATGTCACAATAAAAAATGAAAAAGTGATTCAATCCCATTAACAATTTTTTTGAAGAATGACAAGGCAAGAGTCTAAAAATTCAAGTTCACTAGAAAAGTGATTTACAGAATAACCCTGCAATACAAGTTCAAGCGCATGACTTTGCGGAAAACGTCAACTGGTGGACTCAACCAAGGCATATTGTTTTCCTTCAGTTCAATAGTGAGTTATACCCAGATATCTACTCTGTATATATGGCCAGATTTCCTGCAAAGGGTAAAATTAAAAAAAAAAATGAGCAAGACTGTAGATGATACAATCACGATAGAAATGCATTCAGATGATAAAACCATATGAAGTAAAAACACGTGGAACTGACTCATAAAAATTCTATTCAAATTTAAACCTACGCAATCAAATTTGATAGTCACCATGAAACTACAGCTAAATAACTGTGCTTCATAAACTCCCCTCGACAACACCAAGAAAAACAAGATTTAAACATCATGTTCTGCTTTCTTGTTCTACCATTTTCGACCAACTTAAGATCCGATAAAGATAACAACGATGACAAAAATAAGCCGGCGAAACTGAACCTCCAGCTTTTCTTTACAAAACAAAAGGCATGAACATGAACATGATTGAAGTCTTTCAATGTTCAATATACCAGGCGAACAAAATCCTAAAATTGGCATCTATCACGACATCCTATCTTCCCACCAAGCAAAAGCAACCAAGAAAATCATTACTCAGATAAATATTGACGCAAGTTAAATTCAACCTCTCTCCCTCTCTTTTCTCCTCGCTATCAATTAATCTCAACAAGAAAGCAGGCTACTCCAAGTTCTCTCCTGAATCAACCAAACCCCATGTGGTAAAATCTGGAAATTTTTACATAAAATAAACCAAAAGCACCAAACTTTATCAATCACCAAACAGAAAAACAAAAACCCATCAAGAAAAAATGAAGATAAAACCAAAAAAAACAGCTGAAAAAAATGACAAATTAAACAACAATCCAACAAACATATCAAGCAAAAAAGAAAACAGCAAGAAAAGGAACCCGGAAAGAGAAAATTAAGAAATCTATAGCTGAATCGCTTACAGTGAAAAATATAGTACCGGTAGGATCTTTGCTTGCTCAGATCCAAATGCACAAAGAGTTGAGTTGACTCAAAAGGAAATCTTAAAAACACTGAAAGATTACAGAGAGAGAGAGAGAGAAGAGGGGGGAACAGTAAAAAGTGGAAGTACGAGAAGAAGGTTATGTCTAAAGAATTAAGCGTGCTAAGAGATGTTAAGATTTTATAGAGCTTTGCATGACCATTTTGCCCCTTTATTCTTATAGAATAGTAGTTGACCTGTGTCCTTGGTTAATCTAACCTAACATTAGTTATTTATTTACCGTTGATGGAGGAACACTAGCACACCCCTCCTCTCTCTCTCTCTCTCCCCTTAGACTTTTAAAAAAATAATAATATTTTTTAAAAAATAATTTTTATTACATAAAATAGATTGAGTTATTGAAAAAAATATTTTTTTATAAATTTGAAACAATTTAGAAGACAATTGATTTTTAATTTTAAGAGATTATTTAAGCGAAGTATATAGCCTAACAAATTACAATTTTTTATATTTTATTTTTTATGAGAACAAGTATTTCCAATGCAATGAATTGGTTAGTACATTAAAAATAATAAATGACGTGGAAAAACAACTCGTCAATTGCGTTCATCATCTTCCCTTTTGAGCTCAAGATCATGGAATGCCAAATAAGTTGAATAACTATAAAGCTAGGGGAAAGTATTGTGTTGGTGGTTTATATAATTCAAATAGCAACCTTTTATATCATTAGGAGGTCCAATTTTTGGACTTGAACTCGTGTCATTTAAGGAAATTATATATGGTGATAACAAAAATAAAATAAATGAGATTTTTTTATAGAAAAAACTTTTTTCCAACTATTTGAGAGCCAAATGTCTAGGATTTTTCAGTATTTATGTCCATACAGTTTAAATTTCTTAGTAAAAAATCTATTTAAACTTGATATTATCCTAATTTGGCTAATCTTACTCAACACACTTTTCTATGTATTTTTTTCATGTTATTCAAGCTTTTTATATATATAATTGTTTTATGCTAATAGTTTTTTTCATGAGGGGAAGGTCCCTCCTTTTACATTAATGAAAGATCATCACCAATATTTTTCATCAATAAAATGTATGGCACAACAAATATACTATAGCACATCAACTAAAAGTCACCATGATCAATTAAAAGTCGTCATGGCTACTAAACTAATATAACACGAATTTTCCAACTAATGATACAATCATTTCTTTGAAGAAATTTCAATGCCTAAATGTATAGATATAGGTAATTTTTCATGCTAAAAGCAATTTTACCTAGTATTATATTTGAAAGTATAGTTGTAGTTACTTTTCATTTAGAAAAGTATGTCAATAATGTTCTTTTTATTTTTTAAAATTATTTTTGAGATCAACACACCAAAATGATTTGAAAACTTCAAAAATATATTAATTTAAAGTAAAAAAATTAATTTTTTCAAAAATATTTTTGAAACATCATGCCAAACTCACTATAAACACAGCTAGAAAGCAATTTATAATAAGAAAAACCAATCAAGTTCCATGAAAGCCATGTGAAATCACCAACAGTTAGGTCGGATATGCACGCCTTAGCCCTTTCATTTCTTTTTCTCTTCTTGTATATATTTATTTTTTCTCTATATGAATATATTAATTTAAACATAAGAGAATTCCTTGTTTTTTAATGGACTTATAGTTTTAGGATAGTCAAGTCATCAATCCAGCTATGAAAATCTAATTTTTATGTGGAGTTTTTTAACGACTTCATTAATGATGTTGTTAAGAAAAAACATAATACAAGGCTACTTCATTTCCTTTTATTTTTTATAAAAAAATATTTTCATGATTATAAAACTATTGACTAGATTAGTCATGTTTGACTAAATCATATTTTGTTAAGTCATTTAAATTATTAAAAATCTAACTAAGTCAATTAATTTTTAATGAGTCAAAATTTAATCTATTTCAATTAAAAATCTAGTCCAAGTCCACATTTGAATGCCATTTTTTTTTAATGAATTAACCTATTAAATTAGGTAAAATTTAAAAAATATGTATATATCAGTCATCAAACTTTTTTCATATATCAGGTGGTGGAGTATAAGGTTTGATAGAGGATGGTGGCGGAGACACAAAAAAAAAGGGCGGCAACACCCTCGGATTGGATGATACGGACACCAATGAAAAGGGATCCCACACGGGGTAGAGGAGGGGGTTCTAAGGTGGTTAGTAAGAAGATGTTGGCCGTAGAGCTTAAGGCAAAAGCAAGGCGATAGCACTACACGGAAGATGGATTTAGGATGTGGGATTCACCTTAAAGTTGCATACAGACCTTGATTAAATTTAAAGGGTGAGTGGAAGCACCGGCAATGATGGAGGCAATACCACCTTTAACAAAACCTTTCAAACTCATGATATAGTTTCTAATGGGATTTTCAAGAGCTAATGATCAAAGAAAGAGTTAGATTAATTATTGAGATTGATAGAAAGGTGAACAAAGTGAATATATAAAAGTGGAAGGAGAGATAAAAAAAAAATGGTGTGTTGATGAGTGTTAAGACCATAATCCATCCATATTTATACAGAGACTAGGCACCAAAAAGAACACAGAGACTTTCTTGAAAGCTGGACGCGGCAATCTCCGTTCACATGTTGACTTGGGTTAGTGCTGTTCAAAGGTGCGCGTGTTTTACTGTTTAAAGATGTGATGATATCTTGTGACTGCTACTAATGACAGCCTCTGCAGACTAGCGTTTTGAAATATCACAATACCATTCAACTTTACAAGTGGTCATTTATTGAATTTTATGCAACAGGTGTTTATGGAAGATGTTCTATGTGTTCCATGGAAGAGATCTAGATATAAAATCAATGAACCAATTTTTCTACATGCGGCTTTGAGATGGAAAAATCTCAAACTCTTTAGTATGAAATCTCAAGTATTGAAGATATTTTTATTTAATATTAAATGTAAACAAATTTAATATATTTTGGCATCACATTCCTTCAAAACTAGTACATATGATCTAGAAAAATTTAGTACTTGTTTATAAGTGCTTTTTAAAAGCGCTTTCTAAAAAATTTAAATTTTTTTATTTGAATTAATATTTTTTAATATTTTTAAATTATTTTGATGTGCTGATCTCAAAAATAATTTTTAAAAAATTAAAAAAATTATTGACATACTTTTCTGAGTAAAAAACACTTTTAAAAATAACAACAACCACACTCCCAAACACACTCTTATAACCCTAATGATTAGAGATTTTGTTTTCCTTGCATTAACTATCCCTATTTTCATTTAATGATTTAAGATGTCCATAAATTCTTCAACCCTTATCATCTTCATCTTCTTAACCTTCCTGTAAACAATATTGTTGATGAAGAACTTGACAGGTTCATAAATTTTTTTTAATTTTTTTTAAGAATTTTTATTGAATTTAAATACTTCTAGCAACTAATTCAGTAATTTTATGGATCTATTTTTTGTTGGTTTTGTTATTTTTTATTTTATTTTGAATTTTAATTTCAAATTTTGATATACTATTTATTTAAGGATTTAATAACAAAGAGAAGTGATATAATTTCTCATGGAATTTACAAAACCAGATGATCAAATTTTAAAAATATAATACAAGGCTACTTCATTTCCTTTCATTTTTCATACAAAAATATTTTTATGATTGTAAAACTATTGACTAGATTAGTGATATTTGACTAAATTATATTGGGTTGAGTCATTTAAATTATTAAAAATCTAACTAAATCAATTAATTTTTAATGAGTCAAAATTTAATTGAGTTTAGTTAAAAATCTAGTTCAAGTCCATATTTGAATGCGATTTTTTTTTATGAATTAACTTATTAAATTAGGTAAAATTTAACAAATATGCATATATCGGTCATGAAATTTTTTCAAATATGACATTTTATTTCTAGATCCGCAATCTATAAGTTCTTTTCATTTATATAATGCAATTTCTTTATTTTATTTTATAGTTAGCTAATTAACGACTATATTTTATGTTGAATTAATGACATTCCAATATTGAAAGAAAATTAACCAATTTATATTGTGAATTATTACATGGGCTGTAAATTTATGGGACGTTACAAATAAATTAATAAGTGGAGAATGGGACTTAACAAATAGGCAGAATTGCAAGGTGTAACCTTTTATTTAGTGAGATTGATTGATTTCATCTCTTGTACTAATCAAATACAAAATATTCACAGGAATATACTCACTAAACCAAATAAAATAAACTTTTATACCTTTTGTGTATAGTATTAGTGTTTGTGATATTTTTTAATAGTGTTTTTAATTGAAAATTTATAAAAATAATATATTTTTTATTTTTTTATTTTAATTTCAATGTATTGAAATTATTAAAAAAATAATTAAAATATTAATTTAATAATTTTTCAAATAAAAAATACTTTAAAAATTAATATATCGTAACATCTAATAATAGTATATAGTGTTTGTTTTTAAAAATATAAAAATAATTATTTTTTAAAGTGTTTTTAAATTGTAAATGTATTGATATTATATGTATATTTTTTTTAGTTTTTAAAATTTTTGACACAAAAATACCAAAGCAATCTAGAATTATAAATAAATTAAATTTTTTCTAAAATATATTTTAAAAACAAAACCAAAAACACAAACACCATGACTCATTTACAAGGCACGCAGCACACCATTAGGCATAGGCCCCTCTTCCAACAAAAACAACAATAATAATAAACATTCATGGATAGCTCCTGTGATCAGGTTCTTGCTGGTGGAAATATCTCTTTACTTTTTTATTATATTGTCTCCTTGCTATTTTGTTTCTTAGATTTTTATTTTTCCAAGGAATCATGGGCCCTAGTCAGAGCATGGAATGGACTTTTATCATGGGCCTAGCACCCATTTCAATAAAAAAGTGGGCTGGGCCACACCAGGCTTTACCCTGGTGCCTTCCTTGCTGAAATGATTGCTTTTATACCAATAATGATAATAAACAACCTTGAATCATGTAGACATTAACATGTGCCATTCCTCATAATTACCCTCCTAATAAAATAATTAAAATCCTCATTGGCCATCTAAAGGCAAAGAAGGCCTACTACATGCACATTTCAAAATAAGAATAATAATAAATAATAATAATAATAATAATAAAAAGGGCATCAATTGT